TTTACAAAAGACTGTTAGAAAGAAGGTGCCGCCGAATAACTGACTTTACGATAAAAAATAGCAATGCAGCTTCACATAAGTCGATCTTCAGCCCCATGCTCATCGATGGTCATGAGGGATTTGCCGTGACTGAAAAACTTCGATCGCGCAAGCGGTTCAAATGGGCTTTCTGAGAAGAATCGCTCGGTTCACTCCTCTGGACATTGTCTGGAATACAGATAGCCGTAAAAGCCTTGGTGCAAAGTCAATAAGAAAATGCCACCGCGATGGTGTGAGCACTTGTCTGGAATATGTCCAAGAGGGGAGGCGAAAGTGTTGCTACTTGCCCAACTCTCCTTCAGGAATGACCACGGGGTCCAGACTTGGTTTGCCTTGTGCTGAAAGCCAAATACTGGTACAGGATCAGAAACGTTTGAAGGCCGTGTCTGGCGTGTATGCCTCTAGCACCCAAAGGAACAAACGGTCATAAAGTCTGAGTGACTCACTTATTGTAGATGTAAACAGAATACGCATTTATTTCTATGAATTATGTATGGAATTCAAATTCAAACCGGTGCCTCCATTCGACTGAAACTCGTCAGAAGTCACATGACATACCCTGTAGGTACTGAAAGCTCTTTCGACAAATGAAAGGTTACAACCTTTGAAATGATCGTCCTCATATTTTCATGATGAAGCCATTTCTCGTATTCTTCTTGTTATGAAGTTAATGATCAGATCCCTTATCTTAACTTTTATGTCATTAGCTAGGGGTGTCTTATGTTACAGGTAATGCCGACAGCAGCTATACTCTAGACATAGCGTGTAGTCTCCTTTTTCCTTCAGGCCGAGTGGTACTTGTATATTAACACTTCAAAACGAAGAAAGACGGAGGGAGTTTTCAAACTGGGGCCTAGACTCGGAATCTTTCGATTCTGATCGACTGACCGTGGTCGACTGAGCAGCGCGATTCTCAAGCAGTGATTGGAAAATTCTTTGCTCAAGAAAATTAATGGTTAAAACGAAGATTGCTTCTCACAGGAATCAAACCTGGTATCTCCGGAGTTTGAAGCCGGCCTCCTATAAACTGTACTCCCATGGCACCACCAGGAACCCTTAAGCACTGTAAACGCCATGCTTATCATTTAGTTGTATATATTGCTTTGAAAATACGACTGATAGTGTACAGCTGGAAACCAGCACCGTAGCACAAACTACAGGAAAGTAAGAGTGACCGTGACCTAACAGAACTGATCATAGAAGAGTAGCGGAATGCGGCATGTCAACCATTAGAAACATATGATTTTGCGTTATTTCGACCTCGCTCATTTATGTCATTTGTTATCTCTCATGCAGCTTTTCCTTTTGATTTCTCGAAACACTACAGTTAAAAGCCTTTCACACCGAGCGCAACGAGGGAATAAAAAATTATTACACTAAGGATTAATAAAGGTTAACAAAAGATATAAATCTTACTTACGACTACAGCAACCTTTATTTAGTAGGCAGTTTGTCGTCTTGTTCCTAAGCATCAATTCCACGGTTTCTTAACCGCTGGTCATTGACCTAGTGATTAATGACGACGAACAATATCGTACTCGGTTGAGACGGATGCCAACATGACATGAAATCTAATGATATATAATTATGCTAATCCGGTCTCGACAGTCTAAGTCATGTTCGTCGTTGCATTTTCTTTCCCTTTCCTGATATTATTTAGGGAGTCGTTCGAATTATCTATTCATGTTGTCAGTGAATAGCCACTTCTCATTCGGAAGGGCAGGTAGACCGCATGTTGACAGAATTTCATGATATTATAACTGTGATTCAGTACAGGCGGTGGTCATGAACTCTCTCACCGTATTTTCGGTTACAAGTTTCTTCAAAGACCTAAAAAACTTTGCCGACTCCAGACAGCCATTGCTTCACTGACTGACGTTTTCGGAATTGATGCCAAATCTTCGACCTAATGGATAACCGGACACTGTATTTCCTATAGCATTCTACCTCTTATTACTCCTTGTAAATCTTGCTCTGATGCTAAATTTGCCATCAGGTAGGTGAGGGCGAAATGCCAGAACATCGGTGTCTTACTGTTCCCATGTCAGCCACCTGCTACCCTTGTGTCGCCTGATTACAGCGAAGACAGCGCGATCAATTCCTAGTAGCAGGTAAGAAGAGAACGAAGCTAGGCGTTTGA